CTGGAATGGTGTAAAAACGATCGTTCTTGCTCATTTTGCTTCCGAGAAACATGCAAAACGGGACGGAAAACATGAAATTTTGCAATAATCAATGTCGGAATTTGAGTTCGTAACATTTTTTCGCACATTTGCATCTCCCTAGATAGAAAAGGTCTAAAATCCTGTTGGTACAATGAAAGAAACTGCAATTTTCCATGGAGAACGCTTGATAATTTAGTTCCCTGAAGGTGCAAATTGCGTTTAAACGTCTGTTTCGATGGCTCTTCCAAAAGATGACCAGAGAGACCAAGATGACTAGAAACGTGCAGGAATATTAATGTTTGAAAAATATTCCATCTGCTGGCAACACCGATGTGAAAAGCGGCGACTTATCCGGGGCTTATCTGGTGTACATAAAATTATAACATTCGATTCTGATACTGATGTATCGTCAATTAAAGTCGACAAATCAGTTCAACAGAGTGATGAAGCACTGATTGTCATTGACAATCACATGATTAAGTGCGTGCTATCTGGATTGGCGGAGGGTCGTGGTAGAGGACACGCGTGATTTCCGATCCAAAGTTTTCGAAAATTGTTACAAATAATCCAGAGCGTTTATCAAACCGAAAATGATTAAACACTGCTTAATTAAGACGGCTGGTCATTTTTCTACTGGTTTCAAAGGAATGAGACAAGCGCCTAATAAAAACGACTTATTTATTAAACAAATAATGTGATTCATACAATGTCGCTTAACCTACTAGAATCGACCCTTTTGCAAGACCCGTGTTGCCCATGAATCATCAGTAACCAAAGCAATTATCATCATCCCAGATCCCAGTTAGTGTGTCCACAGCGCGCAAACTGCTAAGACTGGAAGGGTCTGGCAAGAGCACACTGTGGGTGATTAGATGCCTCGATGCGGGGGAAAATGAGGGCAAAAGAACTTACTTATGTAACAGGTATCAACAAAACAGGAAAAAAACTGTGCCGATCGAATCGCGTTCACCCAACAACACTTCGCTCGTTCTAACACATTTAACAAAAATTCAGCGGCGCGTTCGGTGCTGTTGGGCCATGAATTTATTGTTGCCGAACAGCAATGAACACGCCGGCGAACGGCTCTTATGTCAACAATCACAGGTATTCCTAAGAATTATCTTACCGTACGTAACAAATATTTATGAGAATAATAGAAATCTGTACAGGTTTTCACAAAATCTATCTATAATATATTGTACAATGTTCCTTACGGTCTAGAAATTAACGATAACGCGTCGCTTGCTGGTAGATACTCGGCCTGGCTTCGAGAGAGTCTGCCAAATACGCGTTAAGTCGCTTTCGTTGCTTCTATAACGTCCTTTTAGAAAATCGATTAGTTGGTAGTTTTGTTAAATTTTAATCAGTACTTCAGTCTTATAATTTACTTTAAATTCTGGAACGTCGCAGCTCTCTCCCTCGTTAAATAATTGAGGTTTCTCCATTAAGACGATCAAAGATCGAACCGATACCAGATGGATTGTTGGCAAACTGCAGTTTCGTTGTTGCTCGGTGTAGGCACTGGGTTGAGCAAAGAACTGCACCAAACCGAAAGGAAATTGATGCAGTTTCACGTGCCTTTCGACTTATGTACCAGCAAGCAACCAAATATCCATTGCCCAAACAAGCTGCACTCTTTCAATTCATTTAACGTTCGTGGACGATTCGCACTGGTCAAGTCCACATACCCATCTGGTCATCGGAGTGAAACACAACAGCAAATTTGAGTTTGGAAGGGCTTTTTCAAGACCTGCTAACTATTAAGTACACCTTTCAGCTGGGAATAACCGAGTCTAAATCTCTAAAAGAGATGTTGGTGGTGAATTCTTTTGAAGTGTGTGTCTCACTCCCAGTTCACGCTTCCATAGTGTTCAGGGGGGATGAAAAAAAAACGCATTTCCCTCCTCTGTTAGGGTATCCGCCGACCAACTAAAGATTATTTAAAAATTTTCTAATGTAAATCAGTCTTCTGCAGGAGCGCCTCTCGCTCTCGCTCTCGATAAACGGATCCTCCTCCTCCGTCTCTTCAGTGCCGTTTCATCTGTTCCTCGTCCTCCTCGCTTAAGTATGGCCCATGTTCAGTCTCTATTGTACTCATTGCCGCGTCTCTCTACGATGGCCGATGCCTCAGCAGGTCTGACGGCGAATATTGCTCCTCCAACTGCAAAAGAAAAAAATTTCGTTAAAAATCGCGAAAAAACCTTTGAATGGGAGACTCGAACAACCTTTGGCATCTTCAGGCTTTCGGTGCCGCCAACGAGCGGCCCATTGCAGAACGGCATTTCGGAGGGCGACAATTGAGGAGGCTGCGAATCCACACTGGTGAGTCGCTGCCTCTTTACGTGATCGGGCGACTCATTCGAGCCCCTCTTGCCGTTGGACTTTGAAATGCGCAGATGTGGAGGCTTCGCTGCCTGCAAAGACAAGTGGGTTTTTCATTTTTGGTTCCTTGTTTACGGCCAACGCTGTCTTATGGCCGGTTTTTGAAACGACCTTTATAGTTCCAATAGCCTAAACGGCTCTATAAGTCGGAAAAATGGGTTTCTGAAACGTTCGATAAGAGCTGGCGGTTCGATATATTGAAGAACCGATAAAGGTGCGCTCTCGGACCTTGATCGGTTCTATACATAGAGTAAGTAAAATAATTTACTTTCTTTTCTTATTTTACTTTCTCTATGGTTCTATAAGTTGTAGGAGCGGCGCACGCAAGCGTATTCAGTCTGTATCTATCTTATCTTATCTCTTATCAGTCTTTATCTATGAGCGTATTTGCTATTAATGTCAAAAGTCATCGCAAATCAGCTGTGAGCAGAGAAAACGTTTTGGGA